TAGTGCTGGGTTAGTTGACACCCTGGCAAGCTACCAAGAGTATTTGATATGCCAAACACAGTAACAACAAAGTCTCCAATGGAGACGTTACTGGGCCCGCTCGAGCAGGGTTAGTTGACAAAGGAGAGAATTTCCACCTTGTGGCAAAATGATGATCAACCATTCACCAGAGTTCGTAAGCATTTTATGGTGACAGGAGCATGAGGAAAGTTGGGACCGACTGGGGTAGCATTTTTAAAAGATTTCTGATGAAGTGATAGTCCAGAGGGAAACATGCTTCTTTTGCATACATCCAACCTCGGTTGAGTTCCTGACATCCCATGAGGCTCCTGCAAGGAGTGATCCCTGCATGCAGAGCGGGGAGGAAATCCTGAGCACCACGAGAGTTGGCCCCCAAACAAAAGACAAAGGGCTTTTCAGCTCAAGGCAACCCATTGGCCCCTGAGGCATGGGGGAAACGTGTGAGCAGCGTACCTGAGGTACCTGAGGGAATTGCTGCAGTGCTCAAAGTCTAGCGCCCCCCACACAGCTACCTAGCAAGGATGGCAGGTCAGGTCATCACAGCTGAGTGCAGGGACCCACTCTCAGTCAAGGAGCAAAGGAGATTTTCTGAGGGCAGGTCCTGCCTGAAGAAATACCCCTTGGCCTGGGCTGATCCTGAGCATTAGGGAATTCACTAGGGGAAGCTCCAGCCTTTCCATCCAGCACTGCAACCTGACTGCAAATCTCCTCATTGACTGTTACCTGGACAGGACTTAATAAACATTTGCTGAATCCTATAAGTGAATAAAAATAAGATAATTTGGAATAAGATGATGCAGAAAGAATGGGACTCAGGTCCTGTCTTGCTCACCTCTGTACTTATATCACACTGCCCTGAAGACCCCCGGGTGGTGTGGGGGAGTGGTAGAGTTGTCCTGACCTAGAAGACTAGGAAGTTCAGCACAGTTACACTTTTTCTAGTGCTAGAGCCACTTGATGGAAGAGGGCAAGCAGACAGGGAAGGCCCCTCCCTCAAGGCAACAGGAGTGAATTTCCTGGAAATAATGAGATCAGTAGCCCTGAAGTTGCAAAAAGTCAACTTTGCAGAAAACAGGAACTAAAGCCTGAGAAGACTCACCTGGCCATCAGAAGACCCAGAAAAGGCGGGGCTCTGACAAAGTTCCAGCAGAAACAAAGGGCCAGGAAAGGCATTTCCAAAAACATCCCCCACTCCCATCCCTATCCCCTTGGCAACCTCCCTCCAAATGGACTTTTACCTAGGTAGAAGCCTCAGGTTGAAAAAAAAACCCCATAAAAGCCACCTTGAACAAAGGAAGGGTGCACATTCTCTGCCTGAGCCCATGTGCTGCTTGTTCCCACATAACTGAGCACATGTGTCACCCGCACCTTGCTTCTTGAGATGTGTACTTTCATGCTTTCATATCTAATGCTGGGGTATGTGTAAGAGTGTCTCCACTTTTGGGGAAGCCCACGTTCCTTCAAGAGCATGTTTCTCTCTCTCTCTCTCTCTCTCTCTCTCTCTCTCTCTCTCTTTCTCTCTCTCTCTCTCCCCCTTCCTCTTCCCCTTCCTAAAACCTCCAAATAAAATCTGGTTTTACTTCACTGCTTATCTCCTCATTTACTCCTGAAATTCTTTTCTATGAGGTGAGACAAGAACCCAGTAACTAAACATGGGTCCTGGGTGGTAGAGGCAGATTGGGAGAAAGTGCCCATCTCACCATCTCTCTCCTTCCCTCCTCACATAAGCCACGTGGGGTCCATCAACATTACAGTTACAAAGTGTTAAAGTGATCTGTTTGAAAATTGCTTGCCCAGAGTGTCCACCGATCCTATCTCCCACCACTCCCCACCCAGGGCCAGATCCTGGAGAGTAGGAGAGTCAGGCCCAGCACCAGCCCTTTAGGCTTCATAGAGAGCAGCTAACAGCTTTTTTAAGTGAATCTACTAAAATGTAATAAAACATTCTTTTAATAGCTGACTTACCAAAGTAATTATTCACTATCTTCATAAATGAAACAAAGACTTTGGTTTTAGAACGGCTTTAATTAAAGCAATTTTAACAGGACTATTCAAAAGCCGTAACAGGAGGTAAAACTCTAGCTTCGATCCACCTGCTTTGTGCCTTTTTAACTAATCAATCTCAACACAAAGATGCTTTCTAAAGTAAGTTAGCACCACCTGCAGATTTCAGAGACCATTATTCTAGGCGCTACAAAAAGAAAAAAAATATGCTTTCCAGAGGTAAAACTTAGCTGGCATGACAGTGATGGTACCATGATCTGAGGATAATTTGATCTCTGTAAGAGTAATACAGATGAAGGCCATTCAGAGGAATCAAACTTCCAGGCCATGGAGCCAGATGTAAGGAAACTTGGTGAGCAGTGAGGATGCCAGTGAGGATGTGGCCATGAGGAGGCCAGTCCATGATGCTCATGTTCCCCCACAGCTTTCTCTGACACGTGAGGTTGGAGCGATGAGAGGACGTCAGCAGCAATGTCCCAGGACCCACAGGAGGAAAACTAAGCAGATGCCTGGTGACAAGTCTGTCGACCATGGTAGGGCAACCCAACAATGAATCCACAGAATTCAATAAAATAAATCCTTGAGAAGCATCCTGGGAGAGTGCATTGCCAGCTAGCTATCTCTGATAAAAGCTACCTATCCTGTGACAGGGCATCCCACCACACTGCCTTGGCCCCTTCACCTCCTTCCACAGGACCCTCAGAGCTGTATCTCCCAACAGTGGTGTGACTCACAACCTAGGGGTAGTTGTGGTACCCAAAGAAAACTCAAACAATACAACACTGCTGCAGAGTGAGTTTAAGGAAGTTAAACAGTTTGAAGTGAGTTTCCTACAATGGTTATTTTACTGTCTTTTGCAATGTCAACTATTAAATCCTATCATTTAATGTTTGAGACTTTGCTATGTCTAGCAATGTTCACCAAGTTATTCGATTTTTGGAGCACTTATTTCTTGGCTTGTTATTGCATGTTCTCCCACTAGATTTCAGAATGTTGGATGCCAGCAATAGAGTTACGGTCCAGTGTATTTTGTCCCTTTTTGCCTAACATCCTGTCTTCACCCTGGAGTTGATTTTCCCAGGTAAACACTGATAGGATGGAGCAGGTTCAGGTGGTTTTGTGGAGACAGACCTTTGCTCAGGCCAGAAGAAACAGGAAGTGAGGTCTCCTCCAATCCTAAATTCTGAGTCTGCCCCTGAAGTCAGCAAAGTTTAGAAGACAGAATGAGTCTGTCTTCCTAGAAAGGACATGAGCAGACCAAGAGTTACTAGGCATCGTGAAACTTGTCACAAGTATTATGGATCTCCAAGAATCTCATTTTCAGGGGAGCTCTTGAGACCACTGGGCAGATAAGTGAGAAAAATGGAGGGGTATGTCTGCCTGAGATTCCAGACAGCTTGCTCATCTAGTCTGTGTGTGTGTGTGTGTGTGTGTATGAGAGAGAGAGAGAGAGAGAGAGAGAGAGAGAGAGAGAGAGAGAGAGAGAGCAGGAAGCAGAGAGAGAAATAGAAATATTGGTGGGAGCTCTTGGGAAGATGCATCAGATAAATGACAATTGAAATTATCATCAGAACACCTTTGATAAAAGGAAGAAAGAGTTGAATCCCTGAATTAAAAATAGATTATTCATTGTCAAGGTAAAGAATGGAACAAGACATAAATAGCAGCCAAGTGCAGGGCATGCTAATTTTGCTCTAAAATGGTGCGCATGGTACTCTAGCAGCCCTCCAGGGAGCTCAGTACTACAGCCAAATTCTGCATGAGCAGATGTGTGTGTGTGCGCATGAGAGAGAGAGAGAGAGAGAGAGAGAGAGAGAGAGAGAGAGGGGGAGGGAGGGAGAGAGGGGGGCTATAGACAGGAAGATAGAGAGAAAAAGACTTAGAATGAGGCAGAGAGAGATAAAGTTAACTAGACAGTCAAATAAAAACAGGCATAAAGAGATAGGGACAGAGATAGGGACAGGGAGATATAGAGAGACAGGGACAGAGATAGGCAGATAGGGACATAGAAATACAGAGAAGGTCAGACAGATATAGAAACAGAGACAGACAAGAGTAAGGACACACACACAGAGAGAGAGAGAGAAAAGAGCAGGAAAAAAACAAAGAGAAGATAGGAGTTAGAAGCAAAGAAGAGAAAACCACCAGCATTAAATAAGTTATGTACTCTCTCTGAGCTTTGCTTTAAAATTAGGAGGACAGACTTCAACCACTTCCATGGGAATTGCAGATACTATAAAGAAAAAATGCAAGCTTGCTGGTAAAGCACTCGATATGGATAATTAATCAGCAGTCACTGCTTTTGCTGTCATCAGAAGTGCTTCCAGGATCCCATGCAGGAGGAATCATCCTCGCCCAAGGACCAGGAGGAAGGAGGCACTGCAGCCGGCAAGGTCCAAAGAGCTTCGTTCTGGCCTAGGACAGTCACTCTGTTCCCTATAAAGGCCCTAGTGGACCAGCCCCTGGCATTTCACTTGGCCCTCCAGGGAAACTCCTTGTCAAATACTATTTAACTTGTCACCAACCACAGTCCATCTTGGCCAGACTGATGTGGCTACTCCCCACAACCCTGAGCATCCTTTGCTCCTGAACGGCTGTGACATACCTCCCTGTCCCTGACACTATTCCATGAAGGAGTGTCCTAGAGGTAGCACCCTCTCCACACCACTCCACATCTTGAAATATTTCCTGTCTTTGTTTCTGAGCCCCTTTAGGTTTGTGGGGTCCAGCTAATGTCACCAAAACACACCTATCAACTATAGCTGGAGCTAGTATCTGACTGAGCTGTCTAGTTTCAGCAACAAGCCTGGGGAGGTAGAACCAATCACTCTCCCCAGTCAGAAGCTACTGAGAGGGAGACCCCAGACTCCTGAGCTCGAGAATTACGGCCTAGGCACCAGATGCCCACTCTTACCCGGCAATAGTCTTGTGGGGAGTGGTGTGGGTGGATGGCTGTGGACAGAGCCCAATCTTACCTTGGTGAAGGTCAGGCAGTCCTTATCCTGGTCTCTGTCCTTCATCTCAAAGTCATAAAGTGCTTTGCCCTGGGGTGGGGCCTGTGGCAAAGGTCGTAGGCACTGCACATAGCTGGCAGGCAGGAAGCCATGTACCCCATGCAGCTCTCCATGGAACCAGTGCTCATCGACCCTGCGCCTTAGGACTATGACATCGCCCTTGTTGAACTTGAGGTCACCAGGTTCCTTTCCCTCATAGCTGTAGAGGGCTTTTCCATAGGGAAGCTGGGAGGGATTCTGGAAAGGAAACACAAACCCAGGTTATTATTACTCAGCATGTCTGCCTGTCATCCAGGGCTGTGCTTGCCTCCCAGGTGGATCCAGGGGGTCTGTTTTGGAAGTACCCAGAGCATACCCTTCTGGTGGAAATCACTTCAAAGAAGCACATCCTCAGTGACAGAAATACACAAACCCCTGAACCAGAACTACTCTGCCCACGCAAGAGTGTCCACACTGGCACTCTCCCTGAAGCCTGGTGGAATGGACAGGCATGGTCCCAGGCTCTCCATGTAGACTGGAAAGGACTGGAAAGTAGAATGTAAATGACCATCATTTACAGATGAAAACACGAAGGCAAGAGGGATATGGCCTGAGTATGTTCACCTTGAGGGGAGAGCAGAGTCTCCACCCTAGGGTCTGGGTGTGGATGTTCTCACCCACTGCTGCATGTTGAATGACATCCCACTGGGTGTATCTCTAGCTTCCATATTTCCAGCAATTGTCATCTAACAAAATTTTTCCTTATTTTACCAACTGAAACTATATAGCAACGCATAGACAAGGGGGTGATCAAGTTAATAAACGCCCGTCCCGTTTAGTGGCCTTACAACAATGTGGTATGTGCTAAAGATGCAAGAACAGGAGAAAGCCTGATCATGGCAGCCTGAAGCGACTCCCAGCAGCAGTGCATCAGGATCTCTTGAGAGTCCCCAGCAACAGCACATTGGCTGTTCAGTGACAAAGCAGGCTGATCCAGGGGTACTATTACAAGAGCATAAAGCAGCATCCACTCCTTTTTGTTTGTTTCTGTTTTGGGAGCCATACACAACTGTGCTCAGGGCTTATTCCTGGTTCCGAGCTCACGGATCATTCCTGGCAGTGCTCAAGAGTACAGTATGTGGGACCAGGAATTAAATCCAGAGTAAGTTGCACGTAGGTGAAGTTGGTGAGGCCCCATGATGGCTTATATGGGGCAAAGAGAAGAGAAATGGTCGCTTTCTCCCGACCCACTTCTGACACCCCAGGACCAGCTGGGCAGGCTCTTTGCAGAGAAGGAAAGACAGTCTAAGCCCTACCCAGCCCTTACAGATCTTTGTCCTTCTCACAGAAAATAATTTCAGGAGTAGACAAGCAGTGAAGTAATAACAGATTTTATTTGGAGGTTTTGAAGAAGGGGAGGAGGTAGAGAAATTGACACACCCAAAGCAGAAGACAGATTTCTCCAAAGGTGAAAAGAGCACCAGAACACATCTCAGGAGAGGAGATAAAGGCAACAATCATGCTCAGGCACCACATGTGCCTGGCCACCTGGGCACAAGTAGCACATGGGCTCGGGCAGCATATGTGCATGCTTACTTCTTTCAAGTGGCTTTTTAGGTTTTTTTTTTTTTTTTTTTTTTTTTTTTTTTTTTTTTTTTTACGCGGCTCCATTTGGGGCTTCTAGCAAGTTAAGAGGATGCTTCTAGGAAGGTTTCCAAGGGGGTAGAATTGGGAGTGGTTGAAATTCCTGCCCTTGATCTTTGTTCCAGCTAGAGCTTCTATGGAGGTGTGGGAGAGGGGTGGAGGGTGGCAGGTGTCAAGCCTTCTCTGGGTCTCTGTTGGAGGCAGGTGAAAGTCTTCTCAAGCCCCTGACCTCATATGGTAGGCTCTGCTGTAGCCTAGTGGCTATTGGGTTTAATACTTCCTAGGAATTTCATTGCTTGGGGGCCCTCCCCTGTTTACCCGCCTGTATCAGAAGGCAAGAGTATTAATCTCTAGCCCTCAAACCCTCCCAGGGTGGGAGAAGCATGCTAAAAGTAGTCTATAGACCAAACATGATTGCCACTCAATGCCTCTCTTGCAAAATACAGTACCCAAAAGAAGAGAGAGAGAACAAGGGTGAATACCCTACCACAGAGGCAGGATGGGACGGGGGGATGGGAGGTGGGGGGATGTTGGGACCCGTGGTGATGGATGACGGGCACTGGTGGAGGGATGGGCACTTGATCATTGTATAACTGAAACCCAAACACAAAATTTGTAAGCCTATTACTGTACCTCATGGTGTTTCACTAATAAAAAAAGGAAAATAAAACGGCTTTCTTTTATTTTTTTCTTTATTAGTGAAACACCATGAGGTACAGTTGTAGACTTAGAAATTTTAGTGCTTGGGTTACAGATATACAATGATCGAGTACCCATCCCTCCACCAGTGCCCATTTTCCACCATCAATGATCCCAGTACCCCTCCCACTACCACCCCCTATACACCCCATATCTTATCCCGCCTCAGTGGCAGGGCATTCCCTTTTGTTCTCTCTACTTTTGGATGTTGTGGTTTGCAAAAGAGGTATTGAGTGGCAATCATGTTCGGTCTATAGTCTACTTTCAGCATGCAACTCAAATCCTAGGCGGATCCTCCCAACACCCTTTAATTGGTGCTCTCTTCTCTATCTGAGCTGCCTTTTCCCCCAGCATGTGGCTGGCCTCCAAACAGGAGAACCTCCTGTTACTTATCTCGACTATTCTTGGGTGGTAATCTCCTATTTTGTTACTTTATATTCCACAGATGAATGCAATCTTTCTATGTCTGTCCCTCTCTTTCTGACTCTTTTCACTTAGCATGATACTTTCCATGTAGAACCACTTGTATGTAAATACCACAACTTTATCTTTTCTAATAGCTGCAAAGTATTCCATTGTGTAGATGTACTAAAGTTTCTTTAACCAGTCATCTGTTCTCGGGCAGTTGGGTTTTTTCCAAATCTTGGTTATTGTGAACAGTGCAGCAATGAACATACAAGTGCAGATGTAATTTCAACTATACATTATTGCCTCTCCGAGATATGTTCCCAGGAGAGGTATTGCTGGGTCAAGTGGGAACTCAATTTCTAATTTTTTCGAGAAGCGTCCATACTGTTTTCCAAAAGTGCTGAACCAGTCGGCATTCCCACCAGCAGTGAAGGAGGGTCCCTTTCTTGTCACATCCACGCCAACACCGGTTGCTTTTGTTCTTTTGGATGTGGGCCAGTCTCTGTGGTGTGAGATGATATCTTACTGTTGTTTTGTTCTGCATCTCCCTGACAATTAGTGATGTACAGCACTTTCTCATGTGCCTTTTAGCCATTTGGATTTCTTCTTTGAGAGGATTTCTGTTCATTTCATAACCCCATTTTTTGATGGGGCTGGATGTTTTCTTCTTGTAGAGTTCAACCAGTGCTTTGTATATCCTTGATATCTACCCCTTATCAGATGGGTATCACGGTATCAAGTATCACAGTCCTCCTGTTGTTCATCAATTTGCTCGAGCGGGCCAAGTAACGTCTCCATCGTGAGACTTGTTGTTACTGTTTTTGGCATATTGAATACGTCACAGGTAGCTTGCCATGCTCTGCCGTGCGGGCGAGATACTCTCAGTAGCTTGCTGTGCTCTCCGAGAGGGGCGGAGGAATCAAACTTGGGTCGACCATATTGGCTGTGTGCAAGGCAAATGCCCTACCACTGTGCTATCGCTCCAGCCCATCAGATGGGTATTGGGTGAATATCCTTTCCCATTCTGTAGATTGTCTTTGTATTTTGGTCACTGTCTCTTTTGAGGTGCAAAAGCTTCTTAGTTTAAGATAGTCTTATTTGTTTATCTCTGTTTCCACTTGGTTGGTCAGTGGAGTGTTGTCTTTGAAGATACCATTAGCCTCAATATCGTGGAGGGTTTTGCCGACCTTTTCTTCAATACCTTATGGATTCGGGTCTGATGTTGAGAGCTTTAATCCATTTGAAACTGACTTTTCTGCTTGGTGTTAGGTCGAGGTCTAAGCCCACTTTTTTGCATGTGGTTGTCTAGTTATGCCAGCACCATTTGTTGAAGAGGCTTTCCTTGCTCCAGTTCACATTTCTTGCTCCCTTATCAAAAATCAGATGTTCATACATTTGGGGTTGTGTGTAAGGATATTTCACCCTGTTTCATTGGTCTCTGTATTGTATTTTGGTCACTGTCTCTTTTGAGGTGCAAAAGCTTCTTAGTTTAAGATAGTCTCATTTGTTTATCTCTGTTTCCACTTGGTTGGTCAGTGGAGTGTCGTCTTTGAAGATACCATTAGCTTCATCAGCTCTGCCTTTGTTCCAGTACCATGTTGTTTTAATTATTACCGCTTTGTAGTAGAGTTTGAGGTTGGGGAGGGTAATGCCTCCCAACGTCTTTTTCCCAAGAATTGCTTTATCTATTTGTTGGCATTTGTTGTTCCATATGTATTTCAGGAGTGCTTGATCTGTTTCTTTGAAGAATTTCATGGGTATCCTTATAGGTAGCACATTGAATCTGTATAATGCTTTGGGGAGTATTGCCATTTTGAGAATGTTAATTCTTCCCATTCATGAGCAGGGGATATGTTTCATTTCCTCGTGTCCTCTTTTATTTCATGGAGTAGAATTTTGTAGTTTTCATTGTAGAGGTCCTTTACCTCTTTAGTTGGGCTCATTTGAGGTACTTGATTTTCTGGGGCTCAATTGTAACAGGATTGTTTTTTTCATGTCACTTTCCTCTGTCTCATTATATGTGTATAGGAAGGCCATGGATTTTTGTGTATTAATTTTATAGCCTGCGACTTTACTGTACAAGTCTATTGTTTCTAGTAGTTTCTTGGTAGAGGAATTACGATTCTCTAGATTTAGTATCATATAATCTGTGAATAGTGAGAGCTTGATTTCGTTCTTTCCTATCTGGATGCCTTTAATATCTTTTTCTTGTCTAAACACTATTACAAGTATTCCGGTACTTTATTGAACATAACTGGTAATAGTCTTTATATTTTCCCTGATCTTAGAGAAAAGGCTCTTAATTTTTCCCCACTGAAAATAATGCTTGCCATGGGTTTGTCGTAGATGGTTTTGACTATCTTGAGGAAAGTTCCTTTAAAACCTATTTTGGTAAGAGTTTTAATCATAAACGGGTGCTGGATCTTGTCAAATGATTTCTCTGCATCTATTGATATGATCCTATGTTTTTTTCTTTGCTTTTGTTGATATGATTGATTATTTTGATT